AGACAGGTGGCGAAGCGTGGGGAAGCCGCCCTGGGGTGCGGGTCCCAGGGTGGGGTTGGGACAGGGGCGGGCCGGTGAGATAAGGGCGGGAGTGAGGGGAGAGGGGAGAGGGGAGGGGAAGGATGACGCGGCCGCCCCCCCACCTGGCCCGCCGCGGTCACGGTCTTGCTCTGGCCCCCCGGCCGCCCCGCCGGGGCCTGCCCGCCAGGCCCCTCCGGCCCGACGCCGCCGCGGGGGGGGAGTCGACGCAGTCGCTTACGCTTTCGCTCGGGAACGGGTGCAGGAAGGTCCCGGCGGCCGCCATCTCGCCGTCGTCCCGCGGGGTGCCCGGGGCGTTGCTCAGGCCGGCCACGGCGCCGGGGGAGCTCTGGGGGCGGCCGCGGTCAGCGCGGTACTCCCCGCCCCGCGGGCCAGGCCCTGCCCACCGCTCGTCCCGACCTGGGACTAGGCCTCACCGCCCTGGTCAAGCCCGCATCCCCGCGCCCCGGGAGCCCCAGGCCCCACCCCACGCAGGAGCGCGGCCCCTCACCTTCGGCAACCCGTCCATATCGCCCGAGCCTGTGGACCGACAGACGGCGGACCGCGGCTCAGACGCGCCTGCGCCAGGCCCGACTTCCCCGCCCCCGGGAGCCCAGGGTCAATCGACCCCCTCCTCGAACTTCCCCCGCCCCCAGGCCCAGCCTGCTGGGGATCTCGGACGGAGGGTCCGGGCAGGGGTCAGTGATGGCACTCATGGTTTAGTTACAGGAATCCTCCCCCCAACGCAACCCCTGCCACTGGGCCGCCTGCGGAAGCTCGGGGCACAACTGGGTCGCCAGAGGAGAAACGGGGTTGGAGGGGCGGGAGCGTCCGCCAGGGGGCGCAAAAGGCTTGTGAAGCAGCCTGGTTGGGGAGTGGGGCGGGGGGGTGGTCTCCGGACGCCCACTCACCCAGGGATCCGTTCACGTGATGAGGCTCCATCGCACTCATGGCCGCCATGGGGCCCTCCGGACCAGGGCCAAGTGGGAACTGCGGGCAGCGGGGCAGCGTGGGACTAGGGCCACCAGACCCCCAGTGGGGCCACTACTTTCTGCAGCCCCCACCCTGGAGCCCCCTCCACTCACATTAGCCCTGCCGGCGCCCGGCCCAATGGGGTTCATGATAGTGTACATGTTCTCGCTGGAGTTGGTGGAGTCTGGGGGAGATATCGGTGCATGAGGGGAAGAAGTGTGACGACTTCTCCAGGAACACCCTCCCTGTACCCCACCCGGGCTGTACCACCTCCAGGGCT